GACCAGAAGTAGGGCCAGATGTTGGAACAGAAGTAGGGCCAGAGGTAGGTCCACTTGTAGGTCCAGAGGTTGGCACGGAAGTTGGTCCACCTGTGGGCCCAGATGTTGGTGTGGAGGTTGGTCCAGATGTAGGTCCGCTTGTAGGATCAGATGTTGGCGCAGATGTAGGTGCAGATGTTGGTCCTGAAGTCGGACTACTTGTAGGCCCGCTAGTGGGTCCAGAAGTTGGGCCACTAGTTGGACCGGAGGTAGGTCCTGATGTAGGCCCGCTTGTTGGTGTAGATGTTGGTCCAGATGTAGGTCCTGAAGTGGGTCCAGATGTTGGACCTGAAGTGGGTCCAGAAGTAGGTCCGGAGGTTGGTCCCGACGTGGGTCCTGAAGTAGGTCCACTCGTAGGTCCAGAAGTTGGCCCTGATGTGGGACCAGAAGTTGGTTTACTAGTTGGACCAGATGTTGGACTGCTTGTAGGTCCACTAGTTGGGCCAGATGTAGGTCCACTCGTGGGACCACTAGTTGGTCCCGAGGTTGGCCCACTAGTAGGGCCAGAGGTAGGTCCACTGGTAGGTCCAGAGGTAGGACCACTGGTTGGTCCACTTGTTGGGCCGGAGGTGGGACTACTTGTTGGTCCGGATGTGGGTCCAGAGGTAGGACCACTGGTTGGGCCTGAAGTCGGTCCGCTTGTTGGTCCACTGGTGGGTCCAGAGGTGGGTCCTGATGTAGGTCCGCTGGTTGGCCCAGAGGTGGGTCCTGATGTAGGTCCACTAGTTGGTCCACTAGTTGGTCCTGAAGTCGGGCCACTTGTAGGCCCGCTAGTGGGTCCAGAAGTTGGGCCACTAGTTGGACCGGAGGTAGGACCAGAAGTTGGGCCACTAGTTGGACCGGAGGTAGGACCAGAAGTTGGGCCTGAGGTAGGTCCACTTGTGGGCCCTGATGTAGGTCCAGATGTTGGTCCAGAAGTTGGACCTGAGGTTGGACCAGAAGTTGGGCCTGAGGTAGGTCCACTTGTGGGCCCTGATGTTGGTCCAGATGTTGGTCCAGAAGTTGGACCTGATGTTGGACCAGAAGTTGGGCCAGAGGTAGGTCCAGAAGTTGGTCCTGATGTGGGTCCGCTGGTTGGACCAGAAGTAGGTCCAGAGGTTGGTCCTGATGTAGGACCAGATGTTGGTCCAGAAGTTGGACCTGATGTTGGACCAGAAGTTGGGCCAGAGGTAGGTCCAGAAGTTGGTCCTGATGTGGGCCCGCTGGTTGGGCCGCTGGTTGGTCCAGATGTTGGTCCAGATGTTGGACCAGAGGTAGGTCCGCTTGTTGGTCCAGAAGTTGGACCAGAGGTAGGTCCACTGGTAGGCCCAGATGTTGGTCCGCTGGTTGGTCCAGATGTAGGTCCGCTGGTTGGTCCACTGGTTGGTCCAGAAGTGGGTCCAGA